ACTTTGATTACAGATAACAAGGTTCTAGTATCAATTTTTGGGCCTAAAAAGGGAATTCCGTTAATATGTGCGAATCGTCTTCAACGATACGCACTCGCACATTTTCTATGTGGATTTAATTTCGATATTAAGCATGTGAATAGCAATCAAAATATTGCTGATTTTTTGAGTCGACTTCCAATAAAATTTGATACAGATTATGATAGCGAAGAAAAAGTAGTAAGTTTATACAATCTAATTCAGGAATGTCAGATTCCCATTGATATTGCTAGGGTGGCTGAGGAGACGAAATCGGACAAATTATCGTCGCAGGTTTATGAGTGTCTGTTGTCTGATTGGCCTAGCAGAAGAAGTGCAGAGCTTGGGCGATTTTTCAATAGGCGTCATGAACTTAGCATCAATGAAAACATCTTGTTATGGGCTAATCGTGTAGTAATTCCAAAGTCATTGCAGAAATTTATGTTGGCAAGGGCATATTTTTGGTAGCCGTCCTTGAATTTGGAGATTGAAAATGTTTGTAAGGACTGCGGTGATTGTCAAAAAATACGGGCCAGCCCTGCAAAATCGCCATTGTTGGGTTGGCCAGTACCAGGAGGAATTCGGACACGGATTCATATAGACTTTTTTGAGATTGAAAGAAATAGTTTTTTTTTTTGTAATAATACTGGATGCATTTTCCAAATGGCTTGAAGTAATTCCCATGTTTAATATAATGACACATTTAACAATTAAAGTGTTACGAAGCATGTTTGCTCGATATGGGTTACCCAAACAGTTGGTTTCTGATAATGGACCCAGCTTGGTGTCCAGCGACTTTGAAATTTTTTTGAGGATGAATGGTGTGGAACACCTTACATCTCCGCCTTTTTCGCAGCATTGTAATGGTGCAGCGTTCGAACCGTGAAGCAATTTTTATTAAAGGAATTGGATAAATGCTGTTTCTCTGGCTAATTTTCTGATAACGTATAGAAATACTGTGCATTGCTCCACGGAAGCATCTCCCGCTAAATTATTTTTGGGAAGGTCATTAAGGACTCGGTTAGATTTCATTTAATCAAGTAAACTCCAAAATTCAATTTTTCGGGGGTCAGAATTGTTAAAAATTTCGAATAATATTAAACAAGCACAATTAAATAACAAAAAATATTATGGGGGGAGATGGGTAGTAAATATTGGTCTTGAAGATATTGTGTATGTTAAGGATTATAGGTCTGCTAAAACCAGTTGGTGTAAAGCAGTGGTGAAGAAAATATTAGGCAAAAATATTTTTATGGTAAAATCAATGAATAGTGACTTGTTGTGGAAAAGGCATGTCAATCAATTAAGATCAAATTTTGGTAACATGATGTATTCTAATAATGTTCAGTCGAATATAAATGCGACTAGCTCGGATACGAGTGCAAGTTCTTCGCCTAGAGTTCTACAGGAAACTATGGACACAGACAATAATGAAAGTGTTAATAATAGTATTACGGAAAAAGACACGGACCTTGAACATGTTGAGAGTAACGAGGAACACAGTTTGGCAAAGAATATTATATGTCCTCAACGTATACGTAAACAGCCAGACCGCTTACAATATTAATTAGTTTATTAGTAGATAGAATTTAAGTATGTACATAATTATGTTTTAGCGGTAGGTATGTATTATGGTGGCGGGTGGTGTAATGTATTAGGATTAAGTATATATATATATATATATATGGCAACCTTGCAAGGTTTAGTACCACAGAAGGTGTAGTACTTGTTTGAAAAAGAAGGGTGGAATTCAATAAAAACTCGGAAGAGTATTTTGCGCGTTTGATTTCCTCCCTATAACGTACATTACAGTTTCCATTTGAAATTTCAAAAATAAAACCATTTTTGTACTTTGATAGTTGGGTTACGCCCCCTTGTGGTAATTTTAGAAAGCTGAAATATATTTCCAGCATTTTCTCTTGGCCTCATTTATAGGATACTTTTTTTTCGTCAAGACTGCGAAAAATAGTTTCTGAGATATGGCCGTGTGCCATTCTTAATGAATCATCCTGTAAGTATTTTTTAAATATAAGCGTCTAAAAATTGAACAAAGGACCCCGCAATATTTAAATGGAAATTTGTTACCCGTGATATTTGGATGAAATTTAAATATGTTATTGGGGATGCTGTAAGCAACATTTTTTACCATGTGCACAATCCTGCATATATGACAGATGAGGCGTGGTTAGCTGTCAAATATTGGAATCTTATATCCAAAAGCAGAGTAACTATGGCAGATTTTAATGAACAAAAAATCTATTCCTACTAAGTCGACCAAGTTGAGTCGAAAAATGTCAACCATTTTGACACCTGTCAAAACCCTGCCAAACGGCAGCACTCATCTTTTCCAGTATTCAATATTGTATGATGTCATTTGACATTTTTATCTTGTATGTAAATTCTGAATTCAAAATTTGAAAAAAATGACATAATTGCGGATTGCATTTATAAGTGTCAAAATGTTTGAGTACTTTAATGATTTCATTATAGTACTGAGTACTATAATGACTTTAATCAAATAAAATCCCTTATACTAAAACTACATACTTTAAAATAAAAATTGACATCTCTGTCAAAGTCTGAAACCTGCGTATAATGTTTTTTCATGCGTTATCATAAATAAGTCTAACTTAAATTGGAAAAGAACTAGATTTGATTCTTTTTTGAATTAAAGCTATTGACAGATTCTGACAGCTGTCAAAATGTGACGTGCATGAACTTTGTTCAATTTTTTATTACCAATAAACTACCTTAAAACGAGAAAGGACCAGATAAGAGTATTTTTTTTTTACTGAAACAAATGACAGGTTTCGACAGTTCTGTCATTTTTTTTTCAATTTTTGAATTCAGAATGTACATACAAGTTAAAAATGTCAAATGACATCATAAAATATTGAAAACTGGAAAAAATGAGTGCTGCCGTTTGGCAGGGTTTTGACAGGTGTCAAAATGATTGACATTTTTCGACTTAACTTGGTCGACTTAGTAGAAATAAATTTTTTGTTCATCAAAATCTGTTATAGTAACTCTGCTTTTGGATATAAGATTCCAATATTTGACAGCTAACCACGCCTCACCTGTCATATACAGTGTGATTTTTTAAGTGTGCAACATATGGGGATTTTTTTTAGTAATAGCACAACCCAAATACAAACAAGGCCAAAAGTTGGTGCATGTCTGATAATCATATTAGGTGCACTTAAAATGGTTGCAAGTCAAACAGCATACAGGGTAGCTCAAACAATATCAAAGCTGGTACTGTAAAGTACCCTTATTTAAGAAAATTCAGCAAAATGTTATAGAGAAAAGTTGTTTGGAATTAAAAGTTATGCCTAAATACCAAAATATAGCCTCCTAAGATTTTTTTTATTTTCTTTCGAAAAAAATCTATAATTTCTATATTTTTTTTATTTTATATTTCCGCCCTTAAGACTTTCAAAAATTAATTAAAATCAAATCAATTTTACATAACTTTGTTCAAATTCAAGCATATTTGTAAAATTAACTTAGATTTTTAATTTTTTATGGAATCACAAAATTCATGTTTGTTGCAATGATATTCAACATAACTTTAAAATGTCGCAATATTTTTTTTTAACAAGCTAAAACATTACTAATGATAATAGCCATATTAAAAAAACTCTCCTTAAAGTGCAAAAGTTTTATTTTATTTAAGTAAATATTAGTAGAATTTTGAGCCACCCTGTATGCTGTTTGACTTGCAACCATTTTAAGTGCACCTAATATGATTATCAGACATGCACCAACTTTTCGCCTTGTTTGTATGTTGATTGTGCTATTACTAAAAAAAAATCCCATATGTTGCACACTTAAGTAATGACACTGTATACAGGATTGTGCCCCTGGTAAAAAATGTTGCTTACGGCATCCCCAATAACATATTTAAATTTCATCCAAATATCACGGGTAACCAATTTCCATTTAAATATTGCGGGGTCCTTTATCATGACATAGAATTTATTCAGTTCTATTCATTCATTTCTAATTGAAGTTTTGTTTAGGGTTCGCAGATAACTAGCAAACTAACCCAAACTTAAAAAATACAGTTTCAGTGATGATAGGATTTTAATGGTACACAACCAAGAACACTAGCAAATAGGACTGCTTAACCTAATAGGGCGTAAGTTCGCCAGTTCTGGTCTGCGGGTGACGTCACCACTACCAGCATTAGGTACCTGATAGTGGTGACGTCACCCGCAGAACTCAATAGATTGCTTGCGATTCAGGCTGTGCTTGTGACGTTAATTTTTTCCTCATCATTTTTGTGTGAAAAGCTGTGTGTTTTCACCCAACCCATTTCAACTGTCACCCTACTCTTTGCAATATTTTACCTATCTCCAGATTCTGTTTGAAATAATTCCAGGCATTTCTTACACACCCATAAATCAAATCAAATACCTTACGGTATTGAATTACAAAGTAATTTTACGCTTGTCTGGCTGGTTTTTGAAAAATAGGAGTGTCAGAGCACACTTACACTGTCATCATCTTAAACCTAACAAATTGAAAATATAATTAATAAATACATTAAAACTGTCAAATCAACCTTAACAACACATTAAAATCTCTATTGATACAAGTAAAAATTCAGCAGCTCAGAATTGGTAACTCAAAAATTAATCAATTTTATGAAAGGGTCAATCTATCAGATTTTCCCTCCTTTTTATCTCAAACTGCCTTTCTGGAAGCTCCCTCCCTATACTGCAATGCCAACCTGTTGAAAAAAGTTGGCCCCTAATCATTAAATGATATGCGCGATGTTTTCAGTCTTAATGAGAAAAAATTGACTTTTTTTTTACAAAGTCCAACACCCTGTATCTGGAAAGCGAAGCATTTCTGGACAGATATTTATTAAAATAATTACATATTACAATATCTACTATCCCTAGAAGTTTGTAACAAAACTTTGGTGACACCCTGTATATTATAAGTAGGTACACATTAAAATCAAATTTGCCTACCTGTAATGTGTATTGCAATATTTTGATAGGTCCAAGTGCAACTCTCATGCCCTCGATAGCATCCATGAATGCTTGAACCAGATGCGGTGATGTTTCGAATATATTGGGCCAAACATAATTGAGAAGATGAATTAAAGCATCTTCACATCCAAAACCATATACTCCCAGAGACATGTGTTTTATAGCCGCACATGCTGTTTGTCTGTGTACTAAATCTCTGTCCATTAAAGCATCTTCAAGAAGAGGAGCTACAGCGTAGATATAGTCTTTACCTAAAAAGAGTAAATTTTATTTATGTATTGTATGATTGGTTATTATTATTATCACTTACCCATCTCTCCAATATATTCGAACAGGAATGATAACGATTTCAACACTCCATTCTGCACATTCAATTCCGGAACTCTATACTCGTTCATTAAAGCTGGTAGTACTGTGAATGGAGAACAAGTCTCAGCAACAATAGCAATGGCGACAGTAGTACACACTCTGTTCTGGCGTTCTTGAACCTTCAGATTATTCAATAACGTAGCTAGCACGTCATGCGGACCAATAGCTTTGGCGATATACCCAAAAGTATTCACTGTGGCTCTACGAATCGCCTTTTTATGCGCCTTGAGGAGCTCAAGAAGTTCAAAGCATATTCTCATCCATTCTCTGGCCGAGACGTATTCAGGACCTCTATCAGCAATTCGGCCGACCAGATCAATGCAGTTTTCTTGGACTTTTTCGTGACGATTTTTGAGGATTGGTGTTAGACGTGGTAGCAAGTCCTTGATTGGGGGAGTCATTTTTGTCATGCCTAAAATAGAAAAGAAAATTAATTATTTGGGTAAAATTCCTCATCAAACTTAAGACCTACTCCAATAAGGGGAAATAGGGAAGGGAAAACTGATATACAAGCAGCAAACATCCTCGAATACTCATGGCTGTTTGCTTCTGGATTGGCTGTTAACACTACCACCAAAGCATACTTTAAAAAAAAACAGCGTTGATTGTGTTTGTGAGAAACTAATTACCAAACGTCAAAAAAAATATGCCTGCTTCAAAATAACGGACAAGAAAGATACTAATCGACCCCAACATAAGTTGAGCCATAAGGCCGAAGGTAACAAGTTTTCAAACTTGAAGGAGCTAGTGCCTCAAAAGAGGTAAATAGCAGGACAGGAATCAAAAATATTCAAGGAGACATAGAAACTACCTTGAGTCTTCTACACTATGATACAGGTTCACTGAGAAATAAAGTGGACAATCTAGAAGCTGCTCTGGGTGATCTAAATATTGACATAGTCTGTCTAATTGAACACTGCTTGATAGAAGAATTGGCAGTCCTTGGCCTGGATGGATACAAGGTATTCGTAAAGAGACTTGTGGTGGTGAAACTGTGATATTGCTGAAAGAATTGCTTTGCTTTGGGAAAGTTGATAATTTTAGCAATTTAAATGTTTTAAAATGTATAGAGTTCTGTATTGTTTTGATTAAAAATATTAACATAGATGTATCTACAGAGCACCTGATGGAAGTTTCGAGACTTTTGTTAGGAATCTTGAGGGTAATAAATGGCATAGGCCAGGGTAAAAATACTGTACTGGTAGGAGACTTCAATGTTCTATTTGGCTCCAGACAGGCGGAGTCCATGGCTCTGCTTGACCTGCTTGGCAGCTATGGATTTCAACAAACAATATTTGAGGCCACACGAGAGCAATCCTGCCTGGACAATGTCCTTGGCCATTACTCATATAAGGCTGAGGTTGTTAACTATAATCTCTCTGACCATCGGGGACAATTGCTGCGCTTTAATTCAAGGGCTGATAAGGTTTTTATAAATAAGCCTGTATTTGGACCAATGAGTGTGGTCTTTAAAGATTTTATGATTTTGTAGTGAGAATATCGTGGGAGTTTGTGGACAATGCACACATTGATATTGACGAGAAATTCCAGATTCTCATGAGCTCGCTGGAGGAAGCATACCTGCAATCCTTTCCAATAAAAACATACAATAATACGTCTGATCGACAAAATGGGGTAAGTTGGTTTGGAGCCGACCTCAAATACATGAGAGTGCGTCTATGCATGCTTGATGAAGTATGTAAGCAGTATAAAAAGGTGAATGATAAGGAAGAGTATAAGAGATACAAAAAACTATATCGTATAAAAATCAGAGAGGCGAAGAGATTGGCCAATGACAGGACAATAGCTTCTGCTCGCAACCCTACCAAGTGTATGTAGGAAATAATAAATACAAAACGGGGTAAAAAAGGTAGTGCTATAAAAAGCACTGCTTCGGTATCTCCCGATGAATTCAATAACTTTTTCTCGACTATTGCCCACAACTTAATAAATGACTTGCCGGCCTCGGATGCTGATCCCCTTCTGAATCTACAAAAAATGGGCGCTGCCTATGGTGTCTTTTGCTACAAGGAGGTATGCTTTGAGCAGTTTAGGGGGACAGTCTGGACCATTTGAAGAAGAAAAAATGCTCAGGCATAAATGGTATGTCTGTGGAACGTGTGTTGAGTGTGAGGAACTTGATAATCATCCCTCTTACTAAATTATTCAATCAATGCGTCAAAAAGTGTACTTTTCCTAAAGTGCTAAAACGCTCGCTAATCACACCAATATTTAAAAAGGGGGATGAAGAGCAGGTATCGAACTATCAGCCTATCTCCTTGCTTCCTGTAATATCAAAAATATATGAAAAAATCTTGGCCCTGCAGATTTTTTCGAGTCTAATAGTTTGTTCACCGACAGACAATTTGGGTTTAGAGGAATAGGAACACAATTCTGGCAATTTTGGCCCTGCTTGGGGGTATCATGGATTTTTTTTGAGGATCGGAAGTACTATAGCGCATTGTTCTGTGACCTGAGCAAGGCTTTTGATTGCGGCAATCATAGCGTTTCGATGGAAAACTAAAATACTATAATTTTGATCAAAATAGTAGGTATCAGGCTTACGCAATCATACCTCAGTGAAAAGTACCAGACTGTCCTGGTGAATGGAGTGGCGTCTGCGGAGACCTGCATGAATATTGGTGTTCCACAGGGATCAATTCTTGGACCAGTCCTCTTCTTAATATACAGTGTGTCCACTTAAGTTCGCAGCATATGGAAAACTTTTTTATTATCAATTTTACGAAAAAAAGTTATTCTTTATAAAAGTTTCTGCTTCTTGAAAAAATAGTATTGAACTATTAAAACTTGAAATAGCATGTACAGGGTGGTCAGAAAATAGAAAAATATACCGGGTTTTTTGGTAAAAGTATAATAAAAATGGCACGTCACTATTTTTTAAAACCTTTGATATTTTTTTTAAAATTAAGCAATTCATATTACAGTCAAAAGATACCTTTCGTTATCACAAAGAAACTTGCCAAATTTGAAAAAAAAAATTGGAAAAGGGAAACTACGCATTTTCGGACACAGGTTTGTTGAAACTTTTTTTCTTAAAATATTGTAAGGAATCACATCCTGAAGTAACGAACCGTACTTAGGAAACACCCTGTATATTTTTCTATCTTTTGACCACCCTGTACATGCTATTTCAAGTTTTAGTAATTTAATATTATTTTTCCGAGAAGCAGAAACTTTTATAAAGAATAACTTTTTTTTGTAAAATTGATAATAAAAAAGTCTCCCATACGCTGCGAACTTAAGTGGACACACTGTATACAGGGTGTCCCAAAAAGATACCGACAAACTTTACGGGGTAGTAGGGGACATCAAAACAAGCATTTTTGTTTTTATAAACATATGTCCGCAAATGAGCCATTTGGGCTGTAGAGCAAAAAAACTGTTTGGTATCTAGTTTTATTCTTCGCAATAATTAAATCACTGTTTACTTATTAATTTTGCTTTAATAGCAAATAAATTATGTTTTACAATAATTGTTCAACTCGCGAACTCTTTGGAATATTCCGGGAATAGCTTCTACATGGGTACAACTCGCCAGAATCCTTGCTATCAGATCTTCCTTATTACGAACAGGTTTTTCGTAGACTAATCTTTTCAGTCAATGACCCGACGGTGTAATCTTTGCATTGGAGTAAATGGTCAACATTTTGAACAATTATTGTAAACCATAATTTATTTGATAATAAAGCAAAATTAATAAGTAAACAGTGATTTAATTATTGCGAAGAATAAATGTATCAAACAGTTTTTTTGCTCTACAGCCCAAATGGCTCATTTGCGGACATAAGTTTATATAAACAAAAATGCTTGTTTTGATGTCCCCTACTACCCCTTAAAGTTTGTCGGTATCTTTTTGGGACACCCTGTATAAACGAGTGAACCCATGGATGCAAGTGTGAGGGTGGAGGATTGGTTTCTGTCCAACAAATTGCTGCTTAATCAGGAAAAAACGCATGATATGCTTTTCACTCTAAGAGACAGCCATGGAACCACTGATGATTCAATCACCTTGTTGGGGGTGAGGATAGAGCCCAAGCTAACCTAGGAGGACCAAGTTGGTTGAGACTGTGTGGAAGAAGTTGAGAGGTAGTGCGTGTTAGTCTTGAGAAATTTGGGTCAGTGTGTGTCTGATGAAAGGCTGAAGAATGCGTACTATGCATTGTTTCATAGCGTTGTGTCCTAAGGAACAATTGCCTGGGGTGGTTCAGGATATGCCGAGAGGGCCTTCAGACTACAGAGAAAGGTAATCCGAATTATCGCGGGACTTGGATACCTAGAGGATTGCAGGGCTGCTTTTGTGGGATGGGGTGTGTTCACTTTGCCCTCAGTGTCCATTTTGCAGAATTTGCTTTATATCAAAGAGAACAAGTGTGCATTTGCAAGTCATGAGGACACATGGGCATGATACCAGGAACAAAACTAATCTGGTAACAGCATATCGTAGGCTGAGTAAGTCTCAAAAAAAATCTGAGTCCCTAGCTGTCAGGTTGTATAACAGACTGGCACAAAGTATTAAAATCTCAACTGTTAAGGGCTTTAAATTGAAAATTAAAGATTTACTGATCAAGGAAGCCTTCCATAGTACGAAGGAATACATAGATTTTAATTTCTAGCTTCTGACACTCCCTTTGTCATTTTTCCTTTTCTTTTCGGACTTCTTTTTAATGTGCTTATTGTTTTCTTAATGTTCGGATAGTGTTGTCGAGTTGTGTCATGTTCACCTACAATAGTTATGTCACGTACAATTATTTTAGCAGTTTTTAATCCTTTTAGCAAGCCCTGTTGGCGAATGTTACTAATGTGACAAATCTTAATTGTTAGTCTACTGATGGTATCATCAAGATTTTTATCTTATTTTTTGTCTGACGTGTGTAAACACTATATTGTGTAATTAACATAAAAAAAAATCCAACCATGGATAAATTCAATTTTCACCAAGTATCGGCTCAATCAATTCAAAACTTGAAAAATACCTACATTTTAGGTTATATTTTAGAAATTTTTTACAATCGCCCCTGTAGAACAAGAAGGGGCCATGTGCCAAAATACAAAATTTTTGAGAAAACCTAGAAGAAAACTGCAATTTTGAAAATTATTTATTTGCAATTATTTGTACTTTTCCTGTCTACATGAGTTTGTGTTCGTGCCGCTTGTCACCTTTTTGCACAAAGTGAGTTGGGGTATGGAGATGTTGTTATGGCGGTTTCCCAAAAATGGTTTAATTGGCGCTTGGCCCCTTTTTGCTATACAGAGGCGATATCTATCAAACCAACAACCTATAATTATATGGTCATCTCCAATGATTCAGGATATGTATTAGTAATAACGATTAGTCATAGGCTAGCTCAGCATTTAATCTTTTATATAAATACGAGCAAGTCAATAATAAGTTAGTTCTTTAGTTCGCCTAATTTCACATATTACGAATAAAGTAATAAAGGTTTTTTAAAAAAGACAAGTTGCTTAAGAGAACTGGGTACCTACTTGAAACGGGTAAAACTACTTTTCGATTAACGACTAAAGTAATTTATCAAAATCAATGAAATTTAGTGAGATGGTAGATAATGAGTTATAGAATAGTGGAAAGTCATTTTTTATCAAATAAAATAATCCAAAAGATTATGTCACTTCTCAAAAAAATAAATATTGGAATATGAAAGACTCTGCACCATTCTATAATTCATCCTCTACCATCCCATCAAATTTCATTGATTTTGATCAAATACTTCAGTCGTAAATCGAAAAGTAGTTTCACCCGTTTTAAGTAGGTACCCAGTCCTCTTAATTTAAAACATAACTCTATCAAAAATAGCACCGGGCTGGCACACAGTAAACAAGAAACAAATATTTTCGTTTGGCGAGATTATCAATAGACAATAAGGCAATCTGACACTTATCTGACATCGTTGAAATGTATTGACGTATATTTTCACCCCATAAAAATTTCGATATGCCATCTGGTTGGCAAAGTTATATAGTTTGGATTCCCCAATAGGGTAAGAATAAATTTATTCTGGAATATCTAGTTGCTGAACGATATTTCCCTAAAAGAGAAATGAAATTGAAAACAGAAACTTACCTATGACATTTACAATAGCTTTGAGAGCACCGAGGATAGAGCCCAACACTTCTGGATATTCTTCCCCCAAATATTCATACAGTACAACTCCCAAGTGACCCATAAGTTTTTCTTCTTGGCAAGTTTTCATTACTACTGCAATTCTATGAAATTTAAATTATATAAATTTTAATACGCCAAGTTTTTAGTGAATAAAAAATCCTTACCTAGAAATTAAATCAGCTGCCTGTTGACGAACTTTGGCAGATTTGTTATTTAACCTCCAAAGGATTGTACCACAAATCTGTGGAAGATATGGTTTAACTCTTTTACCTAGCTGGTTAACAATAGTTCCAAAACCATTGAGCATGACAACATCTTCGGTAGTTTGTTCTTGGAAAGCATATAGGATACCGTCAATAAGCTGTTCTTCCAACCGAGAATCAATATCTGCTGCCCCCAAATTGCCCATGATTTTCTCAATACTTTCCATCACCATTTTCCTGTAGGCTTCATTCTCATCTTTGAGGTCATCCACAATTCTATTGACAATTTCAGAAGCTCCCACTTTGTTAGCTATCTCAACGGTGGTGTCTACCAATTGCCTGTAAATTTCAACATGTTATTAGAGGTAAGAAGAAATATTATCTGGAATTGAAGGACCTGAGCTACCTATGAGTCCGTGACACCTAATTCTTATTCTAGTTACTGAAATATTGCATAGCTATTTTCAATAAAAATAAAAATGTACATGAACAAAAATACTTTAGAGATTTGGCAAGGAAATTTCACAATTTGTTTCTCGAAGATCTTTAACAAAATGAGCAATGTGCACCACGGATAAATTTCACTAGAGATAATATAGATCTGCATATTTTTGCTGCCTTAAATCAATAAATAATTTAGTACCAACCTGTAATTACGCCTATCTAGGGCCATTCTGTGGTTCCAAAAATGTTTAAAGAACTGAGGTAAAATTTCTTCTTTGATATATTGCGGCTCCACACCATCAGTCGAACAACACTGCTTCACAACTTTCAATACAATTTTTTTCATTTCCTCATCTGGAGACTGGAACTCTCTAATTAGAATCAACATTACTTCTCTGGTATAGTAATTAGCATATTCGGCGTCCATAAGGGGAATCAAGTAACCAATGGCCTTTAAAAAGGCAGCCAAACCTTTACCACGATGTGTTCTTATACCTAGAAATAAAAAATATATGGTGCAAAGTTGCAGAAGCAAGTCAGAAAAGATCATTTTGAAAAAGCCACTCATGAAATTTCTGATTGTATATTGTTAGTTATTTGCTGATGCCCTTCAAAAAATTTCAATCTTTTCGAGATGTGAAAATCTAAACTTGGCAGTATAGTTGCGAGTTTAGTTTACATAATGTCAAGGAGCCAAGAACCTCCTCCCTCAATAGTAATAATGTAACTTTCAACGTTAAATAAATTTTCAGCAGCTTTTTCTGCAATGATAACACACGAAGCTAACTATTAATTGCCTTACCTTTCCACAATGGTTTCAATACGGAATCAAAACTTTCTATACCATAAGGAGTTGCAGCTTCAGCCAGGGCGGCAATACCCAAAGCAGTGATAGTCCTTACCTTCTGCTGCTCATCAACCAAACCATGCTCAATAATGTCTACTAGTGATTTTAGATGGGGCAGGATGGCACAACCCATCAGAATGGCAATCTGTTGCACAATTTTAATACCAGTATGCCTCGCTTGCCATGATTTCTTGGACCGACAAACTGCTTTCAAGAAGGGCAACAGCGATGGAATACCCAAAGCAGATGCAACAACAGCAAAGGCTCTGGCTGTTGTATTTCTTACATATTCGTCAATGTTGTCTATGTCGGGTCTCATGGTGGAAATCATAGTAGCTAAACCTAAACAAAATTAACTAACATTATTATTCAACATTAAATCAAATCAACCATATTTTATTTGAAGAAACAAAATGTATGAATGAGCAAACCTCTATATTGGTGATAATCAGGCTACTTTACCATTGCAAAAAAAAAGTATGTAGTTGAATCGGTGAATTGTGAAAAGGGTGGTGCTAGTTAACCACCCTAGTTGTGCGGTACAAGCCAAGGTGCACAGTGGAGGCGGTAAGGTTTGTTGCTGTGTGGTCATGGTTAAAGTGGGGTTATAAATTGCTAAAAAACAAAGGGAAACTCGGAGGGCTCACTCGAAATGTATGAGAAAACATTGAGGAATATTATTAGGGAATCCTTTCAACAATTAGGCACTAGCTGACGTTACACACTTAACCTCACTTGTTGGGGGGACAAAAAAAGCGTTTAAAGGACAAAGGGCACTTTCCAAATTTCACCGATAAATTGACCGGTTTATTAAACCGGTAGCTGTCAAAAAATTCCGGTAAAAGTTAGGTGTAAGTCCGGTTACAAGATTTTTCTGATGCATTTTGGAACGCTGTGGTGTATTAAAGTTTGGTTGAGTTGTTTGTTGTTTGGAATGTATGGTGTTGTGGTGCGGGTGCAGTAAGGTTGGTATGCATTTTTATTATTTTTAACAGTAAACAAACGGTAGTTTTCATTACGATTTTTGTAGATTATTTGAGTTGAGATGAGTGTTTGGTTTGTTCATAATGAATAAAATTGTTCACGCCACAGGCACAAACAGAATTTTTTTCATTCTGTAATCTGTAAGCAAAAATTTAACGAACGATTGCTGATAGTGCCCATTCCAAGCAATTACGTCAAAATCAAAATAAAAGTGTCAAAAAATCTCCAACCGAAAAAACCGACAAAAATTCCCGGTGGATTCGGTGCCTCATCGGTTTCAAACAGCTGATCATTCCGGTCAATATTCGAACGGACGATCGGGTTCAACCGTAAAAAGTCGGTACATTTTGGAACAGTTTGGTGAGTAAACTAATAAACCGGTATCGCACCGGTTCAGAAAACGGTGAATTTCGGAAAGCGTCCTATTTATACACATAGGCGCTAGCTTGTCAACAATGAGATAAAGTCACTTTCGATAAGGGGACAACCATGTCATTGAGGTTATGTGTGTGACATCAGCTAGTACCTAATTCCTAAGACAAAAACTGAAATGCGAAGAAGCGCTGGAGAAATTAAAAATGAAAAAGAAAGAGAATGCAGAATTAAAGCAGAGGCTGCAGAAAATTGAATCAAAAGTTGATGACATGGAAGCAAAAGAGAAGCAGAATAACATAGTGGTGGTTGGAGTACCAAAACAAGAAATCCAGACACAAAAATCATTTTGTTTAATTTTGCTTGTGGCAACTTTAATACCTATAAACGAGCATAGTGTGATAAATTTGTCTAAAAAAAAAATTTGACTTAAACATTGGATTCTACGTAAAAATATTTTATCTATAACAGTTTTCACCTTTTTTCTATTTTACAGGGTGTCCGGAATATTATACCACCTCAAAATTTCTATTTCACCCCGTATCTCTGGAACAAAACAAGGTGGCACAATTCTGTTTGCGACATTCAAAGTTTCACGAAAAACTGATAGAGTCGCGAGAACCGCAAAGTTCTATCTATGCTGGTTACCGAGAAACCCTGATTACAAACAATTTGGAACACAGTGAACATACATAGATTATGAAAAATCTGAGCAACTGATGTTAAGACCAGGATGGTAAGGTGTCCTGGGAAGTCAAGAGAGTAATATATGTTCATATATTTTTAAAGATAAATTGAAGGGTATGATATGTAAGTGCGGCGGCCAAAACTAAAATAATAAAAAATAAAAAAAATAAAATAAAACCGTGGATAACTGGTGGCCTCATAAAATCAATTCAACACCAAGATCAACTCAAAAAAAAAGTTCAATAAATGAGCATAACTTAAATCTTTTAAGCAAATATAACAAGTATAGAAAAATTTTGTCAAAAACAATTAAACATACAAAATATGCATATTACAAAAGAGTTTGAAAGATCCAAAAAATCTTTCCAAAGTGATAAAAGAGACCACCAATGACTTACTTCAAATGTACAAAAGACCAAATGTATTGCTTTTTCCTTGTCAATCAAATCTTTGGCAGATTTTCAGGGTCTCAACTTACATAAGATAACGTTCATTGCAGGTTAGATTCTCAGTGTAAATGTAGTGATTTGATAGAAAGAACAACTTGATTAAAATACTTGGGAGTTTTCATTGATGAAACATTTCTTTGGAAAGAGCATATACAATAATATGTAACAAATAAAGTAAGAAAACTTGTATATGAATTTTACGAGATGTGCAGTATTTTTTCCCTGAGAACATTGAAAATGGTCTATTTTGCACTCGTAATCAGTTATGGTATTAAAAATAATGCGTTTCCAGAACAAACGTTTTTCTTCAGAATTAGGTCAAGATAGTAGTTTACTTACACCAGATCAATACATCAAATCAATAATACCCTTTATGCTAAAATCATATTACTATAAAGAGCAGATTGTGCATGATCTAAATATAAGGAATTCAATGCAAAATAGTATAGTTTTAGAGAACCGTAAACATGCAGTTTGCCAAAGTCACATTTAGTGTGTTAGACCGAAAGTATAGGTACAGCTCTCTGCATCAAGAAATAAAGTCCAGAACATTTCATAAATTGAAAAAAACGTATTACTTAGAGAGTGGATAATAGACAATAACTTTACGATTAAGTACTCAACCTGAAAAAGGAAAACCAATAGCTAAAAAAAATATATATGTCCATATTATATGATGGCTGGTGTTCTTTGAATTTTCATGATTTTTGTGGTTTAGTAGGTAAGGGATTTTTTTAATCTTTGTAATCTTTTATAATGATTGAAAGTTTGGGTTAATTTTATTCTCGAATTTAAATTAATTTAGTCGCTTTTTAAGTTAATTAGATAGAAATATGTATATATTGATTAGTGTTTACATTACCTATCTCAAATGTTAAATAATGGTAAATGGGTGTACACACAGTATTTTAAATACCATCTCACACCAAAATATATTAACAGAACGAAGGCGGCTGAATATAGATAGGATTATAATAGTTTATTGTTCTAAATTCTAAATTTTTTACCACTACTACTACTGCTAATAAATAAATCAATAAATAAATTATTATTATGGTACATACATACGTCAAAAGCAATGATTTCTAGCTAGAAATTATGTGCAAAATTTAGGGCCGATTTATTCCCCTTCTGATAAACTACCAGGTATGCAATCTGAAGGATAAAAACGCAATCTGTAATCCCATTGGTCGGCCAGTTATCCGCCGACCAATAGAATAATTGTGGAATGGTAAATTTATCTAGCAGCAGATAGTTACGAGCGAGTTTATATGAAGATGAATAAACCGGGACTTAATACCAAAAAATGTGCCTTACAAAATACTCAAAATAGACAAACATATAATCTAGTTGTATAGCACATAGCCGCCAAGGCAAATTTGCATTTATGTCGCATATTATTTTTAGTGCAATAGAACATATTATTTAAGTGCAATAGAAAATAGAAAAGATCTGCTTGCAATGAAATTATAAATAATAAACCCGATAAACGAACAAAAGTTTCATATTCACTTACCTGCAGCTTTGGCCAAATTCGAAATAATTTCTCGTCCTTCTACACGAGCATAATAATCTTCATCAATAAGCAATGGTTCAATAACTACAAGAATCTTGTGTACATAGGGGCGTACCAAATCGTCCAGCTTATACAGAATTCTGTCAATAACTTTGACTAATAAATGCCGTTCTTGATCTTCCAGAGTTGGGCTCATTAGCAAAGGCAATATTTGATTGAACAATGGACCAGCACCAAATTCCCGGGCCTTATCTGTAATTTGTCTTAAGGCTGCCTTACGCATGGGTGGAGTTCCATTTTTAATTTTTAGTAAAAGTTTCATTATCTTGCGCTCTTTCTGTTCCTCGGGACTCAGGGCTTCCTCATCAACATCCACCAACAGTTTATCGAAATACTGGGCATCCTCAGGCTTCATGAAAGGCAAATTTTGTCCCTTGGGCTGATTATCCACATATTTGGCAGATTTATCTTCGGTCTGGATGAAAAATCCCACTGGAGTTTGGCCTACCATGGGTGTCGGGGTAGCGGTCAATTTTCTTGCAGGAGTTCTAATTGGAATGTAGCCCGCCGGAGGTGGTAAGACTTTGTATCCTGGTGGAAACATGGATTCAAGTTCGTCTTCTGAGTAGGGTCTGTTTCTTTCATCAATTTCTCTCTCCCATCTAAAGGCTTGGAGTTGCTCTGGTGTCATTGAAGCTAAGTGACCTTAGAAAAATCAAAAATATATTACGTTATATCGTTATGGCCTGGTTGTATCAAATAGAAGTTCAGTTGAACTGTACTGGTACTTGATCTTTCCTATTTAAAATGCGTTCATGTCAAAAAATTTACGTTTTTAATTACAAATATTAAAGGCTAGTGAGTCAATATTTAAATCTCCCATCGATAAGAGCGAGTTGCACGTAGGATCTATTACAGCACCTTTGTATTTATTTTATGTATAATTTTGATAATCATTGTCTGACGAGCCTTAAAATTTAAAGGACAATCAGATCCTAGTTCTTCATAAACTATTATGTTATTCGTAACTTTCATGATAATCCATGGAATTTTCTGATAGTGATTTTTTACTTGAACAACATTTAAAGCAGTTTTTTTTTTTAATGCAGCAACTGTGAAATTAAACATCATTTACCTGGTGTAGGAGTAGCCATCGCCATAGCTTTGGGACCCACAGGTGTCGATCCTCCTGGTGTTAGCATTGGGGTTACATGTCCAGGAGTCCCATGAGGAGTTTGTGGGGTCATTGCTCCTGGAGTCATTACTGAATTAGATGGCGTAGCAAGGGAAGGAGTTTCATCCCATCTAGATTTACGTTTAGATGCACCTAAATAATTACAGAGTAAGATATTGCAAATATTGTGCGATTAAAATATACAACCTGGTGTTGGTGTCTCCTGAATGAGATCTGCTCCAGTACGGTCAGTCCTTGGAGTCTCAGCCCAGCCACTAGAGTGCCCTGGAGTCTCCCGTTCCGTTTTGGGAGTTTCATCCCAACGATTTCTTCTTGATGACATTTTGTCGTGACCTGGAGTTTCTCTACCTAAATATTTGAAGAAACGAATAATGTTAAAAATATGATTCGGATTTAGTTAGTTGACAGCAAAATTTAACAAATTAGCAAAAATAATAGATTTTACTCGTTCACTTACCAGGTGTGGCTGCACCGGGAGTAGCATCCCACATCCGAGTGGATTGACCTGGGGTAGCCCCAGGAGTTTCACTGCCCTTGTGACCTGGAGTTTCGTCCCAGCGAATGTCAGCTGGCGTTTTCTGAGTAAAAACTCACATTTTAGTATACAATTGTAGGTTTATTTTTGTCAAGTTCAAGCGGCAAAGATGTGACTGTGTCGGTTAAAACAATAGACAAAATCTTGAATGTGTATGGTGAATGAAAATGTACTTATGTTAGCTAAATTGGATGATGAAACCTTGCAGTCAGTCAAGACTTGAAAATGTTTCATCAACCTTTCTGGGGTTGGGGGACAAAATGAAATCCATGTTTAGTTGTGTGAGTTACGTAATGAGTCTAATAAATCACTAGGGATATAATGAGCTCATTACATCATTAGTACGATAATACAACTTATTATGTAACTCAAACAGGCTAAAATGGGTTACATATTAACCTCTTTTTAAAGATAATTATAATACCCGTTAGCTACTGAATGCCTATGATTATGATGAACGAATATTTATTTCAACATAACCAATAAAGTACAGTTTCAATACCTATAAAAATATTAACTTACATCCCCTTCCCAAACTGGTGTAGCTGCTGTACTTGGTGTCGAGACTGACAAAGTTTTCTTCTTAGCTGGCACAAATGATTCTTCTACTGTTTGATCCCATCGGCCTCGTTTCTTGGGTGCCACTTTCGAATCACCGTTTTGAACCTTCAACGTTCCCTCCTTTGCCTTTTCAACAATTTTTTTTCTTATCTGAAATTTTTTTTTGATTACTTATAATGACTTACTTGTCAAATCACATTCACATGGATTTAAAATTTCTTAATTTCATAGCCTTTCAGATATTTAACCCCAACCTAATCTATACATGTGAACGTTTCATTACACAAATATTTAAATTGATTCTTTGGTTTGTAACATATTTATAAGAAAAATCGTTGGTAGCATAGCACACAGAATGGCTTATAAGTTAACGGAAAGTTTGGACTCGACTCTCATCTCGACTAAAATTTGAAGCTAGGACCTCTAGTTTAATGCTCTACCAACTGAGCTACCAAGACCTTCGGTACCCCAATTGACCAATTGTCGAGTCAACTTTTCACGTGTGGTATCTACAATCGCCTACTGAGAGTCGGAGTGCTTGGTGTAAGTGTAAAGCCTGGGACACATCTATCATGCATTCTTCCGATCCGACTCCGATCATACAATCAGGGTCCTTATTCTTGAAACAGGAAGCAGTGTTCCCAAGCGTTCTCCTTGGAAAGCTGCTCCCCTGTTCCAAGAATAAGGACCTTGATTGAATGATCGGAGTAGGATCGGAAGAATGTATGATAGATGTGTCCCGGCCTTAAGTTATGGGTGTCCACATCCAAATACTAACTAAAAAATTTTCGACCATGCATGTACATGCATGCGAGTACAATACGCAATGAATAAATGAATTAAATTAGTTTTCCTGTATTATAAATATCATGTAATAATTTTTTGAACAAGCACCCAGATGTGAAACATCTTTAAACCCACATACAGACAACAAAATCTGCAAACAAACAACAAATAAACTTACTTCATTTTCTTCGCCTTTAAGAAGTGTTTCTTTCATAATCTGCTGGTATCCTCTGGCATTAACTTCTGGAGTTTTACCACCTGTAACCACAAACAAAACCAAAAAGATATATATTAGTTATGTAAAAAAACTTTTCTGACTAGTTAAATTGCTATAAGATTTGCCATATGGGCAAACTTTGTACCATGAAGGTTTGCTGAATAAAAAAATAATTTCTTCGACTGCAATTATATGAATGAAACTTTGGCCAAGACCGCAGTACGGGTTTCATACATAAACCTGAGTGACAAATATGACACACGTTTCAATTAATTGAGGTATATCAGTTTAATTACATGTAAAGTGGAACTAATGTCGGGTATTGAGAGTGTGGGCGTGATTCACATTGAGGAGCGGATTTCTTTTAACCAGAATTAGATTCTTAAGACTCTAATGGCTGTTTCCACCAACTATTTTAGGGGAGCCTTAACGATTAGTATTCCTTAAAATGACAGTCTTCCATGGAGAAATGTCAGTTTAAGGAATACTTATTGTTAAGGCTTCCCTAAAATAGTTGGAGGGAACTGCCATAAGCCCTCCTCTGAATACCAAACAATCGGCCTTATCCAATGCATGTTCCCGAGTCAGAATTACAGAAGAAGGAACATGAAAATGGAATGATATTAAGTAAGCCATCTGTGGCCGGATCCTCGGGCCAGGGAGTAGAGCTCCCCGATAGAACGAATGTTTTGTCCTTGTCAACGTTATCGAAAAGTGAACAAGAATGATAAAGACAAAAAATTGTTCTCTCGGGAAGCCCTACTCCCTGGCCCGAGGATCGGCCACCTGGTGGACAGGAAGATAAACACAATCAATGCTTCGGATAACATAACACAGCCATGCTCAGTGGCTTGGGCATTTCACATGCCCACCCCACCACAGTCTTGAATCTACATTGCAAATGTGCAAAAAATAACATAAACAACCTATTTTCATTCACGAGGCGACACCCAGATACATTGAAATGCTGCCATTTCCACAAGATGCAATGCAATGTCTTGCATTAAAAATACATTTTTTTCAGTTGTTTAGTGGTTAAGGAAAAGCCCATTTTAAAAAAACCAAGCTTGGCCATTGCCTGTGCCACCCTGAAATTCTCACATGTTTACTTCAAAGCAATACAGGATCAGATAATCGCAATGTATCATTTACTCCAGTAGGCAAAAAATTCAAAGATATAAGAAATTTAATAAACCTCAAGACCGAGCATTAATTTACTCGTATATTAACATTCCTGTGGATAAATCACCACTAATTCTCAGTATCTGAAACCTGAAATGAAAATAGGATTTTATGTGTTGAATACTGTCAAGTCCGTCGATTTTAATCTGATACTCCAAAGGAATGTGCGCCTGGTGGCAACATTAGAACGCCAATGGTCACCTGACGTCACACCTGTTTTTGCTATATACTTCACCCCCTCGCTCCTCATACGGAAAGTATCAGATTAAAAACAATGAACAATAGGTAGGGGAATTTGCATGCCCTTGGCTTTTGCAAAAGAATTCCATTATCAACGCAATCGAACGCTTTGCCAAAATGACAAAGCAATGATGTGCTATACTGTGATGCATGAAAAGAGGCCAAAATATTTGATACAGCTCCAATCAAATCAATAATACTTTATTGTCCGAAAACGCAAAGCTATGAGCATGTACAAAAATCATTGGTTCAAGCTGCTAACCATGTCATCCTGTGTTTAATCAAAAGTTAAGAAAATTGAATATGGTTCATGAGGGAAATCCGTGAGAGAAATGGCCAGGTAGGTTCACATATACCTACTCAAATGATAATTTTACATAGAAAAACTATTTATTCTTTTATTCAGCATTTTTTATGGAAAAATTTGACACCACATTCTCTTATAGAAAATGACATTCTACCTAAATGGTTTGTTCAATCTAGGGTGTAATTCTTTGATATCTCTTCAGGTATTTATTGCCAGGAAAAAAAATTGAATATTGTTGACCCACGATACTCTGAATATACAAAGATAGTGAGATAATTTTTAAAAAATTTCACAAAACAAATTAATTAAATAATATATACAAAAATATACTACAAGTGTTATTGGTCTTACTGTTCCTGATCTAAGTACTACAAGTTGTTCAGGAAATTAAAAAAAATGAGTTGCCTTGCCTATCTAAGCTTTTTATGAGTTACAATTTGACATGAACAAAAGAGTGTAATAAACATTGAATTTCCAGGCATAAACTTAATTAAGACCCAAACTAAATTAGTTTGCCAAATCAGGATAGCAAGCAGCTTCACTCTATCTCAAACCTTCTAGGTTATATATCCTATCAATGTAGCAAAGAGTCATCTCAAACTGTAATAATTTCCATGGCAAATGGAGGGCGCGCAGACAGTTTCTGATTTTATTATTTTTTCGCCTGTCTCTGCAGTGTATTCTCCAAATGCAGAAAATACTTTAACATTATTTTTTTTTCCTTTCATCAAATAATTGAAGAGATAGGTACATTGGAGAATTACAAACTAAATAGAGACTCTGTTAAAATATAATATATTGAGATCTTGAACTATATGGTTTGGAACAAATTGGTTGAATATGGTCCAAATTTCACTACAATATTTTTAAGAGAATGTGATGAACAAATATTATACGTACATGCTGGCACTGCCTCCCACTAACTGGTGCATTCTCGAAAACTCTTGGTCAAATCGTACCTAGAAATAGGCTGGGGTGAATTAATAATTTTCTAAACATTACACACGCTCTTTCACACTTTAACTCGATATACTTTTACCATTAATTAGGTACTTATATCATCCTTAGTGTGTGCCAACATCATCTTGTCAAACCTAAATCTGGATCTCCATTGAGAACAAAATGAATATTAGTCTTTTGTTTATTTGGCCATTGAAATGTAGGAAAGGTGGACAGACAGGTGAATATTTTGGTTGATTTCTTTAAACGTTCATGTTCACGCATTCATTCAATTACATTCGGTACCCCAAAGATAATATTTTTTTTAAAAAATATATAAATGTGGAATTCTCGGAACCCAATAAAATTACAATTCATATTAACCTCAAAATTTAGAAGAAAGTCTAGTTTTTATTCCAATACCTACCACATTTTTCATCAAAACTGCATCAAATTTAAATCAAGAAAAACTGCAAGTGTCAACTTACCATCAGCAAAAGGATCGATACGTTCTGGAGAAATGATCATCCTTCTCCTCTTTTGCCTGTATTCATCTTCCCTGTCAGCAATGGTAGGGCGTCTTCGATCAGCAAATGGGTCATAATCTTTATCACTCTATAAAAAAAAACATTTATGTAAGCATATAGTATATGTATTTGTTTATGTTTATAGGTCTATACATAAGTGAAACTTGAAAATCATGGTTGGTAATCATTATAAAACCATAATAATTGTGAAATTAGTTTTACCAAATTATTTATTATCTAACAATAAACATTTGCACTCAATCAGCCACATATCATTTTTTTGTATTTCAACAGGGGATCAGAGGGTAGCTTAGATGTGGTTCAATCATGCTGTTGTACACTAAAATATTTAGCTGTATTGCTTAGCTGATGTGAAAATCTTCGAACTGCTCCAATAACAGGCGCAAGTTTTACAAACACTTTCAACCTATGCAATAAAAATTTAGGTCATTTGAAATAATAAGGCCTAAGTATTTGTCTCGGTATTTGTATTCAGCAACTTCATGTAGCACCTCATTGTTCAGTTCAACATTAAGGTTACAACATGAGATTTTTTTTCAATATCATGTATACAGTCTTTTCAGTATTTGAGTATGCCTCGATTTATACTAAGCCTAGTTCAACATTACCATTCATAACAGTGAACAGTATCATAGTACCTAATTATATCAATATTGGTATAAACTGAACTATTTATTTCACTAATAATAATGCCGTACTTATACAATCAAAGCAACATTTAAAAAAATGCATTTGAGTATGTAGAATACTTATAAAAACTAAAAATCAAGACAATGGGGATGTTTCCTACATTCTCAAAGCATGTTTTAATATATGCAAATCGATAGATTGCACTATGCATTTAATAAAAATAATATCTTTTTACCTTTTCTTTGTTTTTTTTTTCAGGCTGTTGAAAGGGGCATACTTTTTGAATGCTCACATTTTTATCACCACCTCAATTGTCCAATCAGCAACAATCAACAAAATGTTGTTACATGCGGTGTTGCCAGCTTTTCGAACCTAACATTCGTTATTCAAATGTCATCTTGTATTGATGGAGTTTATGGATTTTCTAACTTTATTCGTTAATTGTTATTGATAATGGAAATAAATATAAAAGCAGATTTCACAACTTCCAAAACTAATAATTTTATAGAAAAACATAATAACAAAACAACAAATTTTGACACACAAATCTGCCAAAATAAAAAACGCCTGATTGGAATTAATTTTCTGTAAATCCTCCTCATAGGGCACAACCACAAACAATATATTTGGTGTTCAATACGAGTTATTATTACAACTTGGGGCACAATACATCCTTTTATTGTCATTATTTTCTAATTTCCGATTCCTCTTGTGAAGATTTGATGACAAGATTTTGGCGATTCCTGCTGACCAGATTCATACAGTTCTTCAACGCTTTAATGGTTTTCACACCAAACTTAGATTTACATTGGAATCTGAGAAAGATAATAAAATTCCTTTCTTGGGTGTTCTATTAATCAGAACCCAAACACAAACCAGTTCAACGAGTTGGTACGAAAAATAAATATCATCCGGTAGGTTACTGAATTTTTATTCACAGCATCTATTAATGCAGAAACTCTCTATTATGCTTGCTTTGAATAACAAGACTATTTCTCTGAAATCTAATCAGTTTTTAGAGGATAATTTGAATAAACTTGAATTAAAACTTTTAATGAACGATTATCCCTTGAAATTTTGTAATATTATTTTAAACACTAATGTGCAACCTTCACAATCACATCATATTTCAACACAGAATTCAATTAATTACTTCAAAATTCCGTATATACAAGGTTTGTCCGAAAAATTTAGATCAGTGTTGACTACAGAAACCCAAAGAGTCGTTTTCTACTACAATAAAACTGTGGGCAACCTTGTTAGTTCCCTGTAAGACAAATTACCCTTTGACTATAATTCTAATCTTATATATAAAATTATCTGTTTGGAATGCGATGGAGTGTAGATAAGACAAACCAAACAAAGATTGAAAAATAGAATTTACGAACACAGGAATTCATGTGCAGAAAGACATAGGGCGAAGAAGGAGCAAACTGCGTTGGCAAATCATCATTTTGAGAACGACCATGGCTTTGATTTTGGATAGAGAGGCTCACTATAACAAACGATTATTCAGCAAAATGGTTTGTATTCAGTTACATAGAACGGCGATTAATAAAAGATCTGACACTGAAAACCGGAGTGAGATTTAACATAATAGCTAATGATCTAAAATTGTAAGTTCAAACATTTTGCACATTAAAATTTTTCAGGGATCTCAAAAAGTCCCCTTCTGGTTATGGTGCATTCCATAACAATTAAATAATTTTGGCGCAGGATTTGGTTTAATGGTGTGTTTGCGATCGGTACTATCAAGGTCAGTTTCAGTGTTTCAAGGAATACCAAAGAGAACTGATGTACCCACTGTTTTAAATAATTTTAACGCTCGGACACGTCAATTTTGTATTCAAGGGGGAAACTTTTTGACTCCATCGGTATTTCGCTAGGGTGCACCCCCTGTGTGGGGTGACTGTCACCCCTATTTTTCAGATAGGGAAGATGGATCGAGTGGTACCTTGTTTGAAAGGTATTTTGATTCTTGTCACAACTGTGTACTTTTTTTGAAAATCGAATGATTAGTTCTCAAGATATTCACTGTCAAAGTTACCATGGGCTAAATAGGAAACAATTTTTTGGCCCTGTTATTCTCAAATCACTAGTGGTGCCGCGAGACGAGACTTAAGGTTGGTATCGTCTCGTCTCGAGACGAGACCGTGACTTAGTCTCGGTATCGAGTACTACAGTCTCGTCTCGTCTCGTCTGGACTCGAGTTATACAGGGTGTTTGGAAAATAGCATAAAAACCCTTCACTGCGTGGTGGAGGACCCTTCAAGGAACCCAAGAAAAATAATTTAAAAAATCTAGTGGCATTCTTGAGAAAGTTATTTGCATTTTAATATTTATTAAAATTGACAACACTGAAAATATTCCGTTAACAATATATCAGAGAATTGACGTGTCTCGCAGCAATAGAAAAAGACAGCCTAATTGTAAAAAATACAAGTTAGAAAGTAATAAAAAATGACATGCGCGCGCAACTCGTCGCTGCAGTGTAGCCAGATTGTATTGCTGCAGAACAAATGAAGACAATACAAATCGATCATTATAACATTAAAGTTAAAGTTAAAGAGTGATATATCATCAAGTGTTTTACAACGCCTTAAATCAGACAAAAGAAGAGCTTTAAAGTGTATGTTAACATCGATGGCACTTTTATTTTGATAGATGTTTCATCCGGCAACATCGCACAATGAAATTGCAAAGGAATATGTCAAGTATAATCTAACATCACCTTAAACGACACTGGGATAAGTTCAAGTAATACGTAAAGTATTAGTTTGCTGTTTGTCGAATAACACGTTACAAAGAAAGAAGGAACGATTAATTCTGAACTCGTCTCTGAATACGAATATAACGCAAGCCCGTAACAAACTCGATTTACCGGACGCTCACCTGCAACCCACGAGTTGCGCGCGCACACCAGGTATTACGAGACACGTCAATTAAATTAAATACCTATGTAGAATTTGAATTCGAAGGTGAATTTCCACATTTACCTCTTCATATTACCAAGAATAATGCTGCAGAAGGATTTTTTCAATTATTTTTCTAGCCTTTCTCAAAGGGTCCCCTACTACGTGCAGAGCTTTTACACTGAAAAACAAAGAAAAAAAGAAGAGGTCGGAATTAGAGAAAATCAATCAAGATTTAATACAACAAATAAAACAAAACCTGGAAGATGCAGCGAAAAAAGATGACATCTCTAGACTGGACTCCGAAATACTCCAACTGAAACAGCAGCTGGATGACATCAAAGAAACAACTAAGCAATCTCTACAACTGTTAGAATTCAAGATTGATCAGAAAGCAAACAAAAACAACATAAACTTTGGATCTGAACCTGAATCACCTCGACCACAGCACTCAGCAACCTCAACCACCAAAAAACCACACCAAAAGGATGTCCCCTTCAGACATTCTGGAGACTACAAAGGAGATAATGGGATTGTTATTCCTCCAAGAGGAAATCGCCATTCCTTTAATACAACAAACCTGGCCGCATTTCCTGATCTTTCAAAGACACAAATTGAACAGGATAAAGAAGAGAAACAAAACTTCTCCTGCCAGAGGCACCAAAGGCGTACCTACAGAAAACGGCTGGGACAAGCAGAAGTTACACCAGAAAATGAGAAAAATGGATTCTCGGGATGCGATCGAAGAGCTTGGCTCTATATAAATCACATAAAGAGGCATACCACCGAAGAAATGGTAACCACTTATATAAAATCTAAACCAGGCTTCACCAATGAAAACATTGCAGGAAAAGAAACTACCTAGCGATCCAAAAAAGCAAAAATGCTTTGTTGTTGTAGCCCCTCTTGCAAAAAAAGATGAACTCTACGACACCAACTTTTGGCCTAACTCTGTAGGAATTAAAAGGTTCAATTTTACCAAACACACAGAATTCCTAAAGGAATCAGGTGATTTTTTCTTGTAAAATCATAAAACTATATTTTATGCTAATGTTTGCTCTATCAGAAACAAAATTAGAGAAATAGAAGCCACCATAAAATCAAGAACAATATATGATGTCCTGTGTTTCACGGAGCACTGCATGATGCAGGACGAGTTAGAACATCTCAAAATCCTGGATTACAAAATGGGATCATCCTTTTGCCGTAAGACCAGCAAACATGGTGGATCAACAATCATGTACAACCCCCTATGAAAAACGAAGACACATGATGAAATTACAAGCCTGTCAGTAGCAGAACATGTCGAAGTAAGTGCCACAGAGATGAAAAGACTGAACCTATTAATAATAACTATTTACCGTCCACCTAATGGAGACTTTAATATATTTTTGAATGTTACAGATAGTATTTTGGATGTGTGTCTAAGTCTAAAGAAATATGTTGTGTTGAATGGCGATTTTAACATACATTTTGAGAGGGACTATATCTTTAAACATAAATTCTTAGATCTCACTTAATCATA